TATCACATCCGAGAGTATGTGCAAGTCACATTCTGAACTTTTGTCTTTGAGTGGCTCAAATCAGTTTTTATTCCACTGGGTCTGTGTAAAGCATACACGAAACCAGGGACATTAGCAACTAGTACCACTTGCACTTACCACTCGTTCAGAATGTGACTTGAATACATTAGCAATCAACACCTCAGTTTTTGTCTCCATACTCATGCTCGTTATATTCTTCTGAAAAAAAGAAATTTACCAAAACTTGCACCTATGACATAGATAAAATAAAGAATGATCACACATGTATGGGAGAAAAAAAACTTACTTCCTCCAGTGTACATGTGTTTGTGTCTGTGCTGGAAGTGGACATCAAGCACTGTTGTTTCTTGATTCTATCACATCCAAGTCTATGTACAAGTTACATTCTGAACTTTTATCAGTGAATGACTCAAATCACTGTTTTCATCCACTGGGTTTGTCTAAAGTTAAGTATAGACGAAACCAGGAAAATGAGCAATTGGTACCACTTACACTACTCATTCAGAATGTGACTTGAATACTGAGTACATCAGCAATCAAAAACTCAGTTTTTGTCTGTATATTAATGCTCCTTATATTCTTCTGGAAATAGAAATTTACTAAAACTTGCACCTATGACAAAGATAAATAAAGAATGACAACTCATGTATGGGAGAAAAAAATAACATACCTTCTCCCGTGTGTTTATGGTAGGATTCTTCTCAAATTTTTTGTATTCAAAAATTAATGAAATTTTCACAGAATCAAGAGGACAATATCACTAAGTGATGGTATCAGTGACATTAAATTTGACCGTTTAATATTAGAGGCAAGGTCAGGTCAAGGTCATTATCCTTTTCCTGGACATTAAGAATAAAGAATTACTGTTTCCAATCATGCGATCCCTACTTGTAATTCAAAAGATTGAATGTTTTTCTTTTTGCACAAAAAGATACAACCATAAAGGGCATATAAGATGATATAACCAAATTGACATAGATAATTCAAATAAAATGCATTGGATATTTGCTAATCCGAATTTCCTGTACTTTTCTTAAATTTTTAGGATTTATTAGTTATCTTTATATGCTTCCTATTTTTAACTTTTTCAAATATTCACATATAGTAAAGTAGTCACATAAAGGTACAAAATGATACAAAAACTAAAAGTTTTGATCGTTTACTAAGAGAGAAATAACACTTTTTACCGATATTTGGCTCAAATCTGTACTTAGATTTGAAGCATTTAAAAGCCAACATAATTCTAGTATGTGTGAAAAATCTTATTTATTTGATATATTTTGAAACTTTAGTCTCTTATTACTAATTTAACTTACATTTGAAAATTTCGTGTAGTTTTTGATTGCGTAAAAATTATAACTAAATTCAATGTTCTATAATAATTTTGAGAGGCAGAAAAGAAGATATTTTCATAGGCAACCATTCCGCCAAAAATACAGACCCTGTTACCGGGTAGTTTTCAAACGCAGTTTACCATTTCTATTTAAGTTGTACAATTGTGACGAGGAAAGAAAAATATGGTCTTTTAAATCTCTTACACCTAAATATATAAGACATATAAGCAAATCTACTCTGAATATTTCATCTAGTCAGAAACTAGAGAAGAATCCTACCTTATGTCTATGCTGCAAGCAAGTGGACATCAAGCACTGCCTGTTGTTTCTTCCTTCTATCACATCCAAGACTGATGTACAAGTCACATTCTAAACTTTTATCAGAGAGCGGCTCAAATCAGTCTTGAATCCACTGGGTTTGCCTAAAGCAGGGACATAAGCAACTGGTACCACTTGTACTATTTATTTAGAATGTGAATTGAATATATCACAATGACTATGAGCACCTCAGTTTTTGTCTCCATACTAATGCTTTTTATATTCTTCTGAAAATAGAAATTTACCAAAACTTGCACCTATGACAGTTAAAACAAAGAATGACAACACATATATGGTAGAAAAAAAATAACATACCAGTGCTTGGTGTCCACTTCCAGCACAGACACAAACACACTGGAATAGGTATGTTATTTTTTCCTCCCATACTTGTGTGGTTTTTCTTTATTTTATCTATGTCATACACTGTAGCTTCAAGTTTTAGTAAATTTTTATTTCAAGAAGAATTAAGGAGCATTACTATGGAGACAAAAACAGAGGTGCTCATTGCTGATGTATTCAAGTCACATTCTTAATAAGTAGTGCAAGTGGTACCAGCTGCTAATGTCCCTGGTTTCGTCTATGCTTTAGACAAACCCAGTGGATTCAAAAACTGATTTGAGCCACTCACTGATAAAAGTTCAGAATGTGATTTTCCAATTGGGAAATCTGATGTTGTATATATACCTAGACGTCAAATGTTCCTGCACATTTGTCCAGATAGGATAGGACTTACCCATAAAGCGACGGAAAAAACTTTTTCGCCCTCTTCCTACATAATAATCAAAATCAATATTTCTAATTAATAGTAGCTTGGTGTATATCTTCTACTTCATTAAATCTCAATATTGATAAAATTTATCATCTGAGATATACTAGTATGCTGTCTCTTTGAACGTTAAGAATACATGTATTTTAAAGATTTTCTTTTATTCGCTATTTTTAAGTTTCCTTCGGGTTTTTGTTTGGGACGGAGATTTTACTTTATGTGATTATGGACTGAAATAATCTCAGTAGTCGAGACTGTATGATGTCATGTATACTTTTTTATCAACAAATATACATGTACCTGTGTATTTAGAAATGGCCGCCAACCCTCATATACTCGAATTTTGCTGGAATGTTACAACGAAGCGGGTTGAAATACAATAACATGTATGATGTTTTTTTTTTCCGAGTACTTGTATAATAACTGCGTTAATTTAACTATAGGTTGATATGATCAAAAACAATACAATCAAAAATCCAATTCCTTAATAATAGGACTTCAGAGAGATCTATGAGATAGGGAACTTCGAGACGATGTCTCTTTTATGCATTGAAATGATGTTGGGATAAGTTAACAATACCATGCTGCAAATTTTTTGAAAAAATTAGGTGTTTTTAAAATTTATTGTTTGTTTGTCTGGGTTTTTTTTTCAAATTAGCTTGTCAAAAAACAGTAAAAAAACAAAAATACGCTGCACCTCTGTCTCCATATAGTGATCACAAAGAAGTGCATGTATATATTTCAGGAAAATGTCTTTGGGTAATAATTAAAGAAATAAACATCTCTGGAAAAAGACATTCTATACTTCAACAATGAAAGAAAAAATGAGCAAGCTCACATACCCCACGCTCCCCCAAAACTCAAAGTGCTGAAAATCCCGGAAAAAATAAAGGAATCCAAATTTCCCCTTATATGCACATCTACACATTGTTTCCTAAATATCTGCGAAATTTGACGAAATTCTGTGCAGTGGTTTAAGAGGAGTTGCGCTGACAAACTGTTTATCTTTATATTCAAGGTATGGCCAAAAATCTAAGTTGAAAAGTGGGGAAATTCCCGGAAAAATAAAGGAATCGGAATTTCCTGCTAATACGCACATCTACACATTGTGTCCTAAATATCTGCAAAGATTGATGAAATTCTGTGCAGCGGTTTAAGAGGAGTTGCGCTGACAAACTGTTCATCTCTATATTCAAGGTATGGCCAAAAATCTAAGTTAAAATGTGCGGAAATTCCCGGAAAAATAAAGGAATCGGAATTTCCTGGTAATATGCACATCTACACATTGTGTCCTAAATATCTGCAAAGTTTGATAAAATTCTGTGCAGCGGTTTAAGAGGATGGGGTCGATTACTTTCAAAAGTAATCGATTAAATTAAAATTACTTTGGATTTGAAAAGTAATTGATTACAAGCTGAATACAGACATTTTTTAAAGTAATTAATTACAACTGATTACTTTTCCTTCATGTAATCATGATTACTTATGATTGCTTAAGATTACATTAAGTTAAATGAAACAACTATCCTCTGGTAGACTCAAAAGGTCTAGTTTTGCCTTTGAGACTCAGGCACTACAGCGAAAATATCAGGACGTTCTGCCAAAACTAGTTAATCCAATAGAGCTCACACTTACAGCTAGCCTCTGTGCAGAGAAAACTGGAAATGTCACCATACACACCTCAGTCCCACAAATCACTGCTAAACACGAACAATCAGATTTGGTCAAAAAACGTTCACAATCAGTATGATAGAAGAACAGTATCCCTCAACATCTTGGATTAGAGTTTATACAGACGGATCAGCCAAAAATGCAACAACAGAAGGAGGAGCGGGTATCTACATCGAATACCCTAACGGAGAAAAACAGTCAGAGGCAATACCAACAGGCCTTCATTGTTCCAACTACAAAGCCGAAGAAGAAGCCATCACCCATGCAGTACGCTCCATCAGAGACAAGGCCAATAAAACAACAAGTGTAGTATTCCTGACAGATGCCCTATCTGTATTGCAAGCCATTAACAATAAACTCCCCGAACTTGAACAAGATCTACACAACATCGAAAGCCTTCAAACAGCATTACAATGGATACCATCTCACTGCGGAATCAAGGGAAACGAAAATGCTGATCTGATAGCAAAGGAGGGAGCCAAACAACAGCAATATGAAAACCAAGTAAGCTTCTCAGAGATGAAAACCATCATCACATCACTACACAGAACCCCTCAGCAACAAGACAGCTATCACCAACTGGCTAGACCTGAGCAGACGACCATCTTCAGACTTAGGACAGGACACAACAGACTCAACCAACATCTGCATAGAGTCATGAAAGTCATAACATCACCGATGTGTATATGTGGAGAAGCTGAGCAGAATACAAAACACCTACTACAACACTGCAGAATACACCAGGCACTGAGAAACAACACATGGCAAACACCAACAACGCTACAAGAGAAGCTTTATGGACCAGTGGAAGCCGCCCTACAGAAGACCACCAGATTTGTAGAGGAGACTAGGACTCGAGTGTGATGAGGCGAACGAAAAGAAGAAGAAGATTAAGTTTTTTTTTCTGTTTAATGTTCAAGGACAACAGAATTTTTTTTAAGTCTTCTCTTTTTAAATATCATTTATATTTTGAAGGTAGAACCAACACAAAGTTTGGTGGTACATTTCTTTACACAGATGTATAAGATTTATCAAGTTCATGCTTTCTATCTTTAATACAAGTAATAAAATTTCTGTGTTATTGAGTTAGAAATAAAGATAATTTATTTATCAAGCTAAGCTGGACATAATTATAGTTATGCATGAAGGGATTCGATTGAGGTTCTGTTAAACAAGTAATTGACCTTCTTGATGAGTGATGAGCTTTTCATTAAGCTGCCAATTACTATTGTTTTTACAAGAATTAACACATTGACTGGGCAAGCATGCAATTAGTTCAATAATTGTTATACCCCAAGCTGACCAAGCTTTACTGGTGTTTTATTACTAATTAATTCACATATCTTTTTATGTACACTGAAAATCAAACAAAGTAAATTTTAGAATACACATCTCAATAAAGGAATATCTGATATTTTAAAAAAAACATGTTTATTAAAAAATATTTTTTATAGGGAAAACAAAATGTTGCATTTCATAATGTTATAATTGATTGAAACCAAAAACAACCAAACTTTAAAACGACCCTGTAGTAATTTTCTTCCAGTTTAATTATACATATATCAAGTCAAAATGACCAATTGCTAAAGTATTTTGAAATTACTACTGAATATAGCTAGAAACTGATAGAATTTACTCATTTTCTGGACAATGGACCTGATTTTAACATTTCTGGAAGCATTAGAAGAGACACCTAACTAAAATAGCTTATAATTTTATAATAACTTTTGCTCACTGAATATTATTAAAAAATCATTATTTCATGAACTTTGTTTTAATAATTGTAATCATAAAGTAATCAAAAAGTATAATCATGATTACAGGATTTTTTTCAGAGTAATCGATTAAATTACGATTACTTGTAATCAGAAAAATGGGCGATTATTGATTACTCATGATTACTTGGCAAACTGTAATCGATTACAGCTGATTACGATTACCCCATCCCTGGTTGCGCTGACAAAAAAAACAGGACTGACGGACTGACACTCTGACTGACTAACTGACGGGTCAAAAACATTGTGCCTCATGCAACTTGTTGCGTGGCGTATAATAATTAAGAAAAATCCAGTCTTCTGGAGAATAAGGGGTGTGCACAGATATTGTTTGCCGATTTTCAGAATTTTTTAAAGTTCATTTTCAGTTCCACGTGTAAAACAATATAAAATTTTAAAGATTATAACAACGAATGATTTTTGTTTAAAGTATACAATAAAACTAAAATAAATTCAGCGTCCTTGAATATTAAGAATATTTATAAGCATAAAGAATGACCGGTCAACTGCTGCTGCCTGTTTACAAGAATCAGGTCCATATTATTGGCATTAGGAATACATGAGGAGACTGCTTCACGGAAGTCCAAGCTAAGTCAGTCGACAACTACATGTACATGTAACCAACAAATGAAAGTCTAAACGTCCATGCAGATGATGTTATCGGCCCTTGTTCTTTACCCCTGATAGTAGATTCTCGCCTTTCGTCCTTGCTCTCTCATCATAACAACTGTGCAGCATTGGTATTTCAAAAATTGTATTTTCATTAAGAAAAGACAAAGATTTCTTTAGGGACACCACTATTTTTTCATATCCTTGAAATCTTTCATGTTTCGCATTTTCATCCTGTTGTCTCGCTCTCTCTCGCGCTCTCGTGCATGCATCATCATCATTCGGTACATACGCTCTCTTTCATGTGGATCTTCCTCCCTTTCCTTTGGAAACTCAAGTTCTATCCCTTCTTCGATCAATGTTTTCACTATTTCTATGTGACCGTTCAAAGCTGCTGATGTTATTGCAAAGTCACCCTCTTTTGTGGTATTTTCTGGAGTGGCCTTTTTATCCAACAGAAAATCGACCAGATGCCAATAACCATTTTCTGCTGCGATGTGCAGAGGGGTTTTCTTGTCTTCTGCTTGGCAATTGACATCTGCATTTTTGTCTAGTAACATGCTTATTATTCTCGGTTGATTGAAAAGTACTGCAAAATGAAGTGCAGTCCATCCACCAAGGCCTTTTGCATTAACAGGTATATCTCTTTCAAGCAAAGTCTTTACTAGTTCAATATTTCCAAAGGCACAGGCAGTATGTAAAGGTGGCCAGTTATCTTGGCATCCTTCGGGCTTTGGCTTTGTCATTGCATTCGTAATAGTCCTGACAATTCCTTCTACCCCAACACCAGTTGCTGCAGCTAGCATTGACCTACCATCATCCATTTTGTAATTGTCTTTGATGTCACTTCCGCTCCAGTGTAGCTGACGTGTTGCACTTTCTCCCGCACATCGTATGGCTTCGTGAATTGGCAAGCTTCCAGTTGCACTTTTAATAGAATTGATGTCTGGTTTTGACTTTAAAAGGGCTCTAAGTGCTCCATCATCTGGATTTCTGGCAGCTCTATGATAAACTGTAAATCCATCTTCTGTCTTCTCATTCACATTTACACCTTTCTCTATCAAAGCTTGCATTGTATCATGTGACCCATACACTGCTGCAACATGAAGCAGTGGGGCTCTGCGCTTCCTAACCAAATCAAATATTTCTTGTCCATATAGAACAAGAAAATCTTCATCTTGTATTGGGTCACTTGCAGTCAATGAAGCTCCTTCTTCTATCAGCATTTTTACAAGTCTTCCGTAATTCATGCCATTCCCATAGCAAGCTGCAAACAGAGAGATGCCCAACTCTTCTTTGAACCACTCATGTTGTTTGAAGTCTTTAAAATCATCATGTTTTATTAAATGCTTGATGGTTTGGTCTTGTCCATAGTAGCAAACCCAAAAGAAAAAGGTACGATTATATTCTCCCCTTTGCTGAAGGACAGGTTGCAGATTTCCCATTTCCCCCATGAATTTGACAAAAGCTTCTCCAAATCTCACATCACACAGACTTGGGTGTGATGCTATAAGTCTGACATTGCCTTTCAAAATTTCAAAAACAAGTCTTTGGCTCAGTGAACTATAGTCTTTATTCCAAACACTCAGGTTAGATTCCATGGTAATTGTGAAGTAACTAGATGTTCTAATGCGTTCATTCAAAAAATCTAAACTACAGATTTCCAGAATTTTTTGAGGAATTTTTCTAAATACTGAATCAGTCACAAAGTAGAACATTCTTTCATGGCAGAATTTCCAATGATGCAACTGAACTGGTTCCAGAAACACTCCTGAAAGAAGAGTACATGCGTACCTCATCTTTTCCAAACTCATATCATCTGGAACACTTAAAGCCGTTCTAAGTTGTCTAAATATATTTTGCTGAAAATCTGTATAATCTTCAAACCTCTCTTTATCCAGTTCAATCTTTCCATCCAACAACCCCACACATGCCAGAGTGTAGTAAATAATTTTATCAAAACTATATACTTTCTGAAGCACAGTTTCCACTGATTTTTCAGGGTTTTTGAAATACTGCTGTCCTTCCATATGGAAACTTTTGACACCTGCGTAGAGTCGGCTATGGTAGGCGTACGAGTTGTTATTAGCTTTCTCAATCTCATCCTGTTCTCTGTAAGATAAGCCATGCTTTCCTCCACAGCAACCTTCTAGAATCTTCATCCTGTCATAATTCCCAGGCTTGTACTTATCTAATGATAGATCAATCACATGTTTTGTTTGAAACAAAGGACATAGTGTTACTCTTGGGTGAATTTTCTCCAGTTGATGCTTTTGAAATGTGATGATAACTAAAGTGTTGGGTCTATTTTGGACAGCAGTTTCAAGAACTTCATCAAGATGGTTTATCCACTCTTCAACCTTTGATACAGTGTATGTTGCGGGACCAAATATCTTATCTATCAGCACACACTGTTTTTTGCTAGGATTAACTTTGCGTCTCCATTCTTCATAAGAGTTGACGATCACAACAGTGTATTGTTCTCTGCCTTCTTCATCTAATGCTGTTCTTTCCCACTCATTTCTGTGTCTCATCTCTGGTCTTGGAACAAGTTTCTCGGGTTTCTTAACAAACTTTATGAGAAGATGCTCAGCTAGGGATTTCTTTCCATCACCAGGGAAACCTGTGATGGTGACCCAACCTCGATTCCATAGGGTTCTTCTGGCTGAGTAGTATGCACCATACTCCACAAAGAATTCCTCCGAGTTTATTGGATTAACATTGAAAAAATCATGCCATACTGAAAACAAAAAGTACAAATATTGAACATAAATGCATAATTTCTTTTATCTTAAAATTGTTAAAATTTTGTCATTATTCTACCGGTATAACACTATTAAAATACTGAAAATTTATCATATAAAAATTATATTAACTATATTTATAGGTACATGTATACATAGTAATACTGAGTCAAAAACTTCTCTACTTGACTTTAGTTACCATGTACATGGTGACATGAAAATATTTTACCACCTTTAACTACTTCAGCATGTCTTGATCATTTGAGTAACACTGAAGATAAAATAATTTTTATACTAAACTACTTGCTGAAGCAACATCTAAATGATGGAATTTGTGTGAACTAATTTCATGATCACAAAATTAACACTAATATGGCATAAACTTACAGTTTAACTGTTCCTCACTCAAATAATTGGTACTCTCAAGCTCTACTGGTGGACGATGAAGGGGAACAAACTCTTGCCCACCCTGTCTTGTTTGGGGAGGATTTGGTTCATCTACCAAAATGACATCATCATCATTATCATCATCCTGTGCAGTAGGTGGTTGCTGTCTTTGAAGCATTTGGGCACCATGTTGCACAACATTGCTTAATGTCTGCAAAGTTTGGGATAAAAGTCCTTGCCCTGGAAACCCTGAAGCAGAGGCTGACTGGGTAGCCACATTTGGTTGCACAACTGTGCTGTTTGTTGGAGTTGCTGCAGTGCCTGTTGGTGTTGCTATTGTTGCAGGAGTTGAGGAAAATGTTTCCATATTGTCCTCATATTCCTCCACATCATCAAAATCCTCATCATCTAAAGGTACAATTAAGTGCCATTCATTATGATAGTTTATTAAAGAAATTTAATAACAGGTGTCTATGTCTTATTTAATATAAAAAATATATAATTATAGCTTCTATACATATTAAATTACGTATTTGTTGGCCCAAGGTACAATACATATTTGCTGTTTATATTAAATTTTATCAGAACCCAGCCTTATGAGAAGTTGACTACATGTAACAGGAATTGAGGAAATGTACAATTGTACTGGAAATCTAATCCGGGACTCTTGCATAACTATAGTCAGGTACTCTGCTGATCTGCTACATGTATACCTATAGCTCATACCTACATGCAACCAAAACCATTACATTCCTTGCTCTTAAAATTGTCTTTGCATTTTGAAGACACCAGTTCTAAATTGCCCATTGTAGGACTTCACATACATTTTCCAAATCAAGGGGTGAGCAATGGCACCAAATCTGTGACATGAAAGAAATTAGGGCTGGGCAGGCAATCGAACAGGGGACCAAGGGCTGCATCACTATCAACTCTGCTACTCTGATATTCAAAGCCCAAACTATAAGTATATAACAACTATTTAATTACGCCATTTTCATATGTTATTTTGTTCATGATTTAGGGAATAACTTCTAACTTGGTATTTGCGACCATTAATGCTGATTTAACGGTCGCAAACTGAGTTTTACCGGCGACGCGGTATGTTTGCGATTCGTTAAATCAGCATTAACGGTCGCAAATACCAAACTGGAAGATTAGTTATTCCCATTCTAATGCAATCCATGCATTTAGTTAGTTGTTTACGTCTAATTTTATTGAGTTTCCTTAAATGAAATTAATCCGAGATTTCTCTGACTCTAATCCCTGCTTGTATATTGTGACTTGTGCTTAAATCTCCCCTGCACAAGTCACAATATAAAAGCGGGGGTTAAGAGTCAGAGGAATCTTGGATTAATATGAACTACGTCATAGAGCATTGCGTTTTTATGTCGCTCTATTATGACGTCACAACGAAAAGCTTTCACTCTCGTTAATGTTCGTTTTACTGCTTCAAACATCAGTGCATTAACCAATTAAAACGTGTTTTACAAAACAATTGCATTAGAATTTAGGTTTAATATCCAAAAACTTATTCTCTTTCGCCTTTAATTCAAACACCAATGAACCAATCCTTAAACACTGATTTATCGATAATAGCTGAAACTGAAAGTTATCACATGCAAACATTTGTTACATCACATGCAAACATTTGAGAAAACCATTATTGTATTGAATTTAGGAAATAGAGGCATTTAAAGTATACCACTGTCTTCATAATCAGCTGTTGTGAATACAATATTTCCACTCATTCTTTTGCCTCAGCTCCTGCAACAAATATGCAACAATGTTGTAAACATGTATAATTGTATTTTATTTAAGCATCGACTGATGCACTGATCAAACCAAAACTGCCATTCTGATTCAACTTTATACGCCGTAATTTCTGATTAACACTTACACATGCATACAACCGTTATGGCACTGTTTTCAACTAACCTAAAACTGTAAAATCTTTTCCATTCCACACACCAAAGCAGGAAAACCCAAATGCTATAAATAGATTTTTTCTGGATCCTTTAAATGTTTTCTTTCTCATTTGAACTGATTGTGGAAAAATATTTCTGTTATCTTCCCTAATAAAAAACTGCTTTTCTTGAATAATTTATTTTTTTTTAATCAGACAATGTAGAATGCTTACAAGAATATAGAATATGCCTTCGTCATATCGAATTCTTAAACGTACAATCTACTATCATGCCAAAAAATGCGCATGCGCTGTATCTACATTACACTGATTTAGATCTTGTTGATGACATGTTTTGATTAATTTACTTATTTGTGAAATTTTGCCAAAATAATGGCTGATTGTTATGACGAAACCAGGTTTGTTACAAGACATTAAAAATTATCCATTTTATTTTTAACTTGATTAAGCTATATAGCTTGATTTAGCTATATACTATTCAGAATAGCTTGATTAAGCTATTTTGTAAGATCAAATGTGTTATTTTTTCAACATGTTGATGACATGTTTTGATTAATTAACATGTGAGAGAGAAAATTATTTGTGAAATTGCTGGAATGCCAAAATAATGGATAAACATCACTGATTGTTATGCACACACAGTTACTCAAACAATGGAAATTCATATTTTGCTTAAAACTATTCAACAGACATTAAAAATTATCACATTTTATTTTTAATCGTTTTTGTGAAAAATTGCATATAAATAGCTTTATGAAGCTATTTTGAATAGCTTAATAAAGCTATATAGCTTTTTAAAGCTATATAGCTTAATCAAGTGATTGTGCTATATTTGACCCAAATTGATGAATAAGTTCAAATGTCAGACATATGATTTAGATGTATAACCAGTCGCCTTAGACATTCAATATGTTCTTAGATGAACAACTGATGAGATTTAATCTGTACACTTTTCAAAACCATTCAGACTTGTGTACAACTGAAGGCTTCCCTTCTGAAAGATGTGAAAGTTATGTAAATTACATGTACATGATGTACAGAACCTCCCATATGATACTTTTCATTGTCTAACTAAACATGTCTTCAATAATATGTTGACGATGCAACCGTTATGGCGAGCGCAGATAGATCTATTTATTTTGTTATAATTTAGATCGGGCTCGTCAAACTGCATGTGACATTTGGTGCGTCTAGACTCAGACGTCACATGACGTCATATGTAATTTTAGTAACATTTCCAAAACGAAGCCTGAACATTGCTGAAAGTATATGAAGAACGTTTCATTTACTATTTATCTTCAATATTTATCCATTAAACCAGGGCATGTTTACTTTAAGTTGAACTTTGGTGCTATTCTCGCAAGAACGTAGCTTTAATAAGTGATGCTTTGTGGGTCCAAATTACTGCGACAAAAAATTCTGTCGAATGAATGTGCAGTAGTCCGATTTTCTCTTCGCACAGGCATTGCTTTAAGAGATCGCAGTGACTATCGACACTCGCTGCGCTCGCTATAATTGCATATCACTATCAGATTTTGACATGTTAGACATTTTAAAAATATTAAAAGTATATTTTTCATGTAGTACTAATTGATTTACTCAAATTAAACTTCGCACAGGCTATTTTTGCTGAAAAAATATAAGTGAGATCGCATGTGTCAAACATCATTTAATAGGCAGTGGTATAATTGCATATCACTATTAGATTTTAATTGTGTTCAAAGGACATTTTAAACATATTATATATGCCTTTTACATTTTTCATATAATGTAGAAATGCAAAGTTTGATTTACTCAATTTTTAAACTTAAAATTTCCATACTCTTTGGATTTTCATTTCAAATAAATATAGAGCTAGATATTTTATATTTTTGTGTCAGAACATATTTAATAGGCAGTCTAATTGTGTTGCCGGACAAGCCCTCACCACAGTTAGAATGCGTCCCATATAGTTGCAGTGTAGCAAATCAGAGCTGATCCGCTCCAAAATGATTTTTAAGAATATAAAAGGGGTTGCACTGGAAAAAAAAGTACCAAATAATTCAATACAAGCCCTTTTGAGATTGTATATGGGCTCTTATTGTAAAAAGTAATCCAATTAATATAAGGAAAAAAATCATTTTTTCAGTATTTTTTCTCGCTTTAAATTTACACGCCATGTTGACGTTCAGAACTCTCTGGATTGTTTGTTGTAAATGCATTAAATTAGAGTTATTTCCCCTGTTTATTTTAGTCATGATAATGATTGATTGTTCTTCATCTTCAGTTCCCCTCCCTGATGAGAAAGGATTCTTATAATAACTAGATCTTTTTTTGGAAGGGGGGTCAAGAGAGTATTGAATGCCAACCTACCTATAATAGCTTATAATCCCTATTAACCGCCCCGGGCATCTAGAAAATTGCAAAAAGGGGGCGGTTATTATAGTTTGCAGCTAACTGTAAAGTTTCACGTTACGTCACGATCTTTTTCATCAGATGCATCCAGCGTAAACAATTCACGTGATTGGTCAACTCAGCTAGATCATCAACATTGACATGGAAATAGTCTGTTGCATGAGCAACCAATCAGGGATAAGAAGAAAGTTCCAGTCGTATAGCTTGCGGTTAGGAGGCATGTACAATTTACCTTGAGCGCAGCTGTCAAATAGATCGTGACGTAACGTGAAGCTTTACAGTTAGCTGCAACTATAATATTTTGGTGTTCTCTTTATGATATTTAATGTCATATTTTAGCTTCAAAAAATCATTTGAAAATAAAAATAAATACAAGAAACAACTAAGATAATGTCTAACTTTACTTAAAGTGAAGATAATCCACCCAAATTATGCTAAATTGTTCATTTTCCACTGAGAAATTGGATGATAGACAAATTTCATTTTCACTTTCTTCATTTTTTTGATACGATTCTAGTTGATTTTAAGTTGCTTACAGGGGGCCCTTACAGGTATTTCCTGACAATTGAAAAAGACCTCAGGGGGGCACTTACAGGGGTAGGGGCAGTTAATAGGGATTATATGCCTAACGATATACATATTACTGCACATACTTTAACTGCCTTCATCCTTTTTCTTTCGTATAAATATCATTGCTAGCCAAGGGACTTTCTGATATGCTGCTCTCTTCATAAGGAGAGTAACATATCAGAAACCATTGGCTAGGGAAGATGTGACATAAAAGGAACTGGAGTTACTTTATTCTCTCATTTATTTATTTATTTTTGGGGGGGTTGGGTCTTTTTTCACTAAATTTACAGTTTAAAATTTACACTTACTTATGGATTATTAATTTTCTTAAAATTTTATTTGATATAACCACCCCCACCTTCAACATTCTAGTAGCATCTGCTTCTATTTTGTACATCTGTCAATTTCTTATTTATGAAATGCTGGTTATCTTGGTTATTTAAGTGCTTTAATTTTCAAATGCTAAGAATTTTTTTAAGTGCTAAAGCAAAACTCATTGATTATTACCTGTCCAAAAGTGCTAAAGCAAATTTGGTAATAATCAATGATTTTTAACCTCTTAACATGTTTAATGAAAAATATAGAAAATATATTTTTAAAAAAAAACAAAACACTATTGCACTTGTATATACACATGTATTTTGATTGTATTTTGGCAAATATAATGCTATTGCAATATCTTGATGTTGAGTGCAAATGTTTGGGAAACACACATTACTTTAGAATTCATTTATATGTTAAGGTTATAAACAAATGACCTCATAAATAAGGTATACCAAAGTCAAAATAGACAATGATAATTATTGTTTTTCCAAAATACAATGACACTTTGCCCTATTTATTTCTAGTAAATGTTAATTAATATAAACACAAATTTCAACTAAAAACATAAAAACGATAAAAGCTTAAACTTTTTAGAAAGACATATAAATCTAATTTTTTAATGAACCACATTGCAAGGTAATTTGAATGAGCGAGAAAACATAATTATTTGCCACATAGGTAATGCTTGTATGAAAGAGAATGGTTTATTGCAGCTGAGTTTAATGTTTGCTCTATAAATGGACTTGAAAGATTACAATTCACGTATATGCCCTGGTTAAAACATCAGACAATAGTACATGTAATAAAATCAAAAGCTATGGAATCCATAGTATTGATATTGATGTAGGAAAATATAATAATGAAAACATAATTTATACTTATATTAATAGCATCAATCCTATAGAATCCCAAGCTTGCATGTAACAGCTAGAACATATGATGCATAATTATAGCCCAGGTTTTACAAAAAGGAAAAAAAAAAACTATTTCAGTACTGTTAGTGTATGTAATTATTGATTTCCATGATTATAATAAGAATTTTGTTCAAAATGTATATCTTTTACTCTAAAATAATAATACCTGCAGTGTTTTCCCTAAGAACCGGCTACTGGCCAAATTGACCGCTTCAGTTGACAAAAATGCCGCTTCAAAACAAAAAAAGTAAAAAAAAAATTAATTGTTGTTAGGTCCACAGAGATTTTGTTCAAAGCCTGTTACAACTGATCTCTAACCTTTTACTGTGAAACAGAAAGAAAGGGAAAACACTGCCATGTAACAGTTTTTTATGTGTAATTATAGCAAGGTGTTTATTATTGGATTGATATGCCCTTTCATATGCACAGTGAGGCAATGATACCATTTCTCATATAACAATTCAATTCACTAAAATTGGGCTGAAATGTAGCAGTTCAGCATACATGTACCCCACTCTGACAGAGTTGCTGGTTTAGACCACTGTTGACCACTCAAGAATCCAGGTCACAGTTTACACAGTCCTGTAAATTTGTTTCTTATTTTTGTGAATTAGCCTTGAACTTTCAATGTTAAAGCTGCCCATTGAATTTTAAATGACCCAGGCTTTCCCATTGTAAATAACCTTAATTGTTGCCTTAAATATATACATGAAATGTACTTATTTGATCTACATTAAACAGTCAAGCTTGTAAATTAATCCATAATTCTTGAGATATAAATTCATATAATCATTATACGTGTATTTAAGGAATCACTGTCTAGTTAGTATAGTATTCCCA